ATCACATGAAGTGTTAATAATACCACTTTACAATGCCTTGGTAAGGCCACACGTGGAATACTGCATCCAGTTTTGGTCACCACGATGCAAAAAAAAAAATGCTGAGACTCTAGAAAGAGTACAGAGAAGAGCAATAAAGATGATCAGGGGACTGGAGGCTAAAAAATATAAGGAACAGTTGCTGGAATTGGGTATGTCTAGTTTAATGAAGAGAAGGATGAGGGGTGACATGATAGCAGTGTTCCAATATCTCAGGGGTTGCCACAAAGAAGAGGGAGTCAAGCTATTCTTCAAAGCACACTGGAAGTTTTCAAGAAGAGACTTGAAATGGTATAGGTTCTGAAATGGTATAGGTTCTCCTGCTTCAGCAGGGGGTTGGACTAGAAGACTTCCAAGATCCCTTCCAGCTCTATTCTATTCTTTCATACCACCATGATTACCAAACTACCCATTACATGAAACATTTAAGGAACTATTTTAAAAAGTGTAATGTGAGAGACGAAACTGGGACTCTAATAGAAGGGAAGGTGGAGTGGTTCTTTCCTAACCTTTATTACAGTATGTTTATACTGTAGAACTAAAGAGCAGAGTGCTGGAAAAATATAAAGGGTGCATGAAAGAGAGTCCCGTAATGAAGGTAAAAACACACCTTCATTATCTTTCCAGCACTCTGCTCTTTAGTTCTACAGTATAAACATACTGTAATAAAGGTTAGGAAAGAGCTACACATGTTTACGTTAGAATAACATTATATGGGATGTCATATATAGATGGGTTGTCTCTTGGTATATATTTAGGTTTTAGCAAAATTTTGTATAAAAGGAAATTTTCCATCATTTGTCATCTAACATGGCCAGTATTCACATAAGTAAATGTCCTCTGCCTTACAAACATGTACAGCTTGTATTTTATATTAAGATCCTAACTTATGCATTTGGGTTTTCTTGGTTGAGCAACTGGTGGTATTACTCAGCTTACATGTTATGTTAGGTGAGAACTTGTAATAAAATATGCTATGAAATGCAGGAATTATCCTGCTCTTAATGCTACTGTTTGATCCTTTCTGATTTTGGAATCTGTACATGGCTTGAAGTCAACATACTTTTTTAGCCATCTAATAAACTAATCATCTGGGAAAGTGTCAGTTTATTTCTCCATGTGGAGAGAAAAAGAACAGATGGAAAGGAAGTGAGAAAGAGATGAGGGCAGAACTAAGATATTGCTTTAAGAAGGGAAATAGATATAGTTCCAGATGACAAGGTGATATGATTCATTATTGTCATAGTGAATATTGTTGGACATATCAGCCTGTCCACCAAATTGTTTCTTTAAGGGTGTGGAATAGAGGAAGGCTCCTAGTATCCTATTTCCATCTCTATTCTGCTACTACTATGTATTGTTATTTTATGTAAGGAATTAAAGCTGCAATCATCAAAAACCCATTCCTTTGGCCTCTCCATGATAATAACTCATTGTATTCCAATCAATTGTGTGCTGATAGACCAGGGGTCTTCAAACTTGGCCCTTTTATGACTTGTGGGCTTCTGGGAGTTGAAATTCACAAGTCATAAAAGGGCCAAGTTTGAAGACCCCTATGATAGACAGATATCCTGCTTCCCCCCTCTCTCTCGTCTGCCTTTTGTCCCTTTTTTGACGTTTGCTGATCATTAACAACTAAACATCAAGCCATCCATTTTTGCTAGCTGAGCTGTATGGCATGGATGCTTCCTCTGCTGTGGATATAAGGATTGATTGGGCATATGCTGGGGGCACACAAACACACAAAACTGGAAGTTGCCTGCAGTAATATTCCCACAAGTATAAAGCAAAATTTACTTATGAACATAGTTTCTTATGGCAAACTCTGAGAAAACTATTAAATATTTCTTTGAGGTGACATGATACAGATTTGAACATTTTAGAAAATAGCTACTAGTAATAAATCAATAAAAATTAGCATCAAAATTGATAGGCAGAAATACTGTATTCTCCAGCACTGAGATGGAGACTCCACCATTGGGTAGTAGACTGTATTCCTGCCCAATCAGATCAAGTCAGCCAAAGTTGCCACGCCCGTCCTGGATCGTGATCTCCAGTCTTTGACTT